GTGAGAAATAAATTTGTTTCTGTTAATAATTTTTTTCCGCACAATTAATTTTTTCGTAATTTTTTTTCGCAAAAATTTTTGTTTTTTGTCGTCCCTTTAAATACTTTGATTTTTTCCTCTCTTCTCCTGGAAAATTCAGAGCTGCATTTGTTAGCTGTTGACCCAGCTGTCTATATTTAGAGAGGAATTTATTGGCAACGGCCCAGATTCTAAACTTGGCTTTTTGACTGAGAAAACATGGGTCCCCTTCCCCCGTGTTACTTCGCATTTTCTTCGTTTTCTTCCCTTTCTCTTCTCTTCCACTTTATTATTTTCTCTTCAACCTTTAATGGGTTGTTGAAATTGCGAACTGTGTTGCAGAGGAAGGGCGAATCCACGACGCACTACCCGGAATTAGTGTTAAACAATTTCAACACAAGGCTGGGACATACGATTGCACGAATGTTCGCATGTTTATTCCCACAGAAGCCAATGTATACGGGTCGTCGTGTGGTCACATTCCATAATCAGCGCGATTACATATTTTTCAGGCATCACAGGTGACTCTTTTTTTTTCTTTTTTGGAATTAAACGTTTTTTTTTTTTTTCAAAATTATTGATTATGATTTATTTGAGAAGTTTTGCCGCTCTGTCAACGATTGAGCCTTTTCTTTCGATTTTGACTTTTTTCCGATTCGTTATCCTCTTGAGGTTGCAGATACGAATTCAAAAAAGACGGTGAAAAAGCAGCCCTACTCGAACTTGGGCCACGTTTTACACTGCGATTAAAATGGTTGCAACGCGGTGTATTCAACACACGAGAAGGCGAATATGAATGGGTCTTGAAGGTATCTTTGTGAGGGTAGAAGAATTTCGAGAATTAGGAATACATGGCGTTGTGAATTTGGCGAACAAGAAATTCAGTGAAATATGCGGATTTATTTTTTGCCGAATAAAAATACTCGCTCAGCCAAACCTCTTTTTCGTACTTCGCCCTATGTGAGAGATGAAGGCAGTTGAAGCGTCTTCAGTTATAGGAGTTGGTGCCACTGTGAGAATGAAATTAGATGTAATTTATGACTGGATATGAATAGGAAAATAAAGGAATTGCACTTAGGTGTCATGTATAAGAAGACATTTTACAATGCAGTCTGTCTGTGTTTCATCCCTTAGCTGTAAACGCAGGCCGAATAATGCGTCCGGGTAGGAGCGGGAATCATCAGTACAGCCTCCTTCTACCCTGCATATACTGAACAGCCATGTAACTAATTTGCAAGACGGATATGTGAGAGAAAGAGAAAACAGAAAG